CATTGTGATATGCTTGAACTGTTTTATATATAGATTTTATTTTAGGCAAGTCCTGATGATTTGAGAAGGCTAAATTGATCAAACATAGGCTATAGGCTATGATCAATTCACTGTTTGCCGCTGGCCTTTACTTCAAAAAACAAAACAAAATAACTTACATTTAACGAACAAAAAATACTCCAAAAGTTTTTCTAAATTTACTTTATAAAAAAACAAAACGAAATATAATCACTTTTCCATTACAAACTATTTTAATAGCTGAAACAGTAGTATAAGTTTTTTTTGGGGATAGTGGAAAAAAGATGGGCTAGGGCCTATATTTGAGACCCGTGCAGGGCTTTAATCCACTTCATCCAACGCTGTTTTGTTCTCATCTGTGAGCATGCTCTTGATATATGTATTTTAGGTGTGTAAATGTATAATTGTCTTTTAATTATTTTTTTCAGTTTTATTTAAATTTGTAGTTAAAACAACTAAAAATAAATTAGACAGCCTTTGCACACAGGCTTACGCTGAAAACAACAAAGTGGAACCTCAAGTTTGATCTAGGAAAATGTGGGCAAATGTGGGCCCCATTCCTATATTTTGCCTGGGGCCCCCAATTCACTAAATCCGCCCCTGCCCTATACAATAAGACATTCCCAATGCTACTGCACTTCTAACGTTAGTTCATGTTTATTTTGAATAAATGGAAAACATTCAAATCTTTCAGCAATGTTTGATATGCAAAGTGCCTTTTTCTTTGCCTTCTCTTTCGCCTATGCAAAAGTGCTGATTGCTGATGATCAGTGTTGGGCAGTAACTAGTTACTAGTAACTTAGTTACTGTAATAATATTACTTTTTGCAGTAACTAGTAGTGTAACTAATTACTAATAAGATTTCAGTAATAATATTACAGTTCCCATCCATAAAACAGCTTAGTTACTTTTGATGCCTCGACCCCACTGATTTAAAATCCAACAATCAAATAATTCCTAGATTTATTTTCATAATTTTCATGACTCGCACATGCATGCGATGTCCCCAGTGCAGCAGGAAAGCTTGGAATATGATGATGAGGCAGAAATATGATGTTAGTAACATTCTAGAAGAATTTTATGTGGAAGATATATGGTTACAACTTCTGTGGGGCGTGAAGAAAAAGTAATGTAACTAGTAGTGTAACTAATTACTGTTGCCAGAAAGTAATAAGTAAAGTAACTATATTACTTTTGAAAGGAGTAACTAGTAATGAGTAATATATTACATTCTTTGAGTAACTAGCCCAACACTGCTGATGACTGAGCATGAACCAGCATTTGGGATCAGTTGGCTACTCTTTATGTCAGTGTGGTGAGAGAAAAAAAAATCTGTTCAAGCTGTTATAGTATAACAATAATGCTTGACTGTTTTATCTCTCATTGATTCCATTTAATTATAAAACTGTTTTCCTGCAGTTTTATGCATTGCATCCAAATAACCTTCGAGAGCAGTAGAACAAATGCTGATGTATAGCTAATGAATAAATATTTGGCCACAGGTTTTATCAATTAAAAACTTCAGTTACATTTTCATGCCTGGTAGGATATTTCATACTAATTCCAAATAAAGTGCATAAATGTTACAGTTCACAGCTGTTATGGGTTTGGACGAACTGCAGCATAGTTTTTAATAACTTGAGAAAAGCGAATGATTTTGACTTCATTTGTGTGAGGTTTGAAGTCCTGCCACAGATATTCTGGTGAGAGCACCTTGCTGGGTTTGTTATAAAGGAAGTACTTGTTCAAATGGGACTCCTCCTGCCATGCTGCCTCAATGGATTTAGCTGCATCAATGTTCAGTTGCTCCCGGCAGGTTTTAGCAACCTCATGTACATCTTTCACTAAGCCACCGACCACAGCTCCACCATAATAATAATCACCCTCAGCATGAGGAATGTATGCTTGAGACTCGGGCCTGCGCTCATATGGGAACTGTTCACGTGGTGTTTGATAGTAACCAGGATGTATCACACCTACAAGACGACCCAAAGACTCTGCCCCCCATTGCCCGTAGAACTTTGTGTCCACATCAAGGCTGAAAACATAGTCAGCTTCATTGACCAATCGACTTTCAATCAGTTTCTCCAGCTTTTCCATCCTGCGTAAAGTGATCTCCTGCCATCTGTTAGAACTAGGGACTTTCAACACCGTCAGCTGACGTTGTTCACCCAGGTTTACTTCAGGAACCTGCTCTGGTTGATCAGTGAAGAGATAATAATGCACACGAAATCCAACAAAGTAATTCTGCTCTGCAGACTCCAGGAAATCTTTAAGAAACTGCGTGTATCTGGAAAAAAAAGGAAGAGGGACTGAAATATAAAGTAATAAAAAAGCGGCAAAACATTTTAATTGTCTCCCCCCCCTCCCTTGGCAATTTATTCACCATAAGAAGACCATAAGACGAACCCCAATATACTGTACATTTGAGACCATACAAAACACTAGATCAGGGCTGTCCAGTTCTGCTCCTGAAGGGCCACTCCCCCCAGAGTTTAGATCTAACACACATGCCTTTTGTAACGTCGGGATGTACTCAGACATGAGGAAAAGCAGGTTATTCAAGAAAGCAGGGTTAACTTATGGGCAGTATTTCAGATACATGTATTTAAAATAAGTATTTGAAATACAAAATACTGTTTTGTATTTTAAAGCATTTGGAAAAAATCAAATGTAATTTGTATTTAAATACATTTAAGATTAGTATTTTTATATTTTCAAAATACATAAAATACTTCGTGCCAGTCAACCTCTTTATCAGGGTGCTGATTTTGTCCATCAACTAGTTCAGACACGCACCCTCCCTCCAACCCCAACATTCATGCAAGTGAGCTGCAGCTGTACAGCTCCACTCAGCATTGAGTGAGTGAGTGACCTTTCTGGAATAAGAGAAGGTGAAGATGACATGGTCAATTGTACTTGTTGATTAAAGTTAAAATAGTGCATCTTTCAGATTTGCCTTCAGTTAACATGGAAGAATAAAAGAGCACTAACAAGGGAAAAAATAGCGTTAGCCAATCAGTTTTTTTTTGTAAAATGTGTTTAAAGCATTACTGCATGTTAGGGCTGGGTGATATGACAACACATATTGTGACGATGATATAAAGTGTGAATAGTTCAATCAAGTGTGAATTGATTGAACTTCTAAATCGTTTACAATGAAAAAGGCCAATCGGGGTAAGTTTATGAATAAATGGATTTTTTTTTCTGCACAAAAAAGAAGAACAAAAACAATATATATATAAAATCACTCAAATGGTCTTTCTATGTAGATATATAAGCAAGCATGACATAACCAAGTATTTTAAAGTCAGACGGCCTTTCTAAAACTTTAGTTCTATTAATTAGTTAGAAGGTAGGGTCTTCATCTTTTCAAAATATGTAATCATAGGTTTCCAAATGTTATAAAATTTTTGAATGGATCCCTTTTTACATATTTTATTCTTTCTAGTTTTAAATAATATCAAATCACAAATCCACATCGAAGTTTTTGGTGGATTTTTTTATTTCCATTCCAACAGTATTCTCCTTCTTGCTAATAATGAAGCAAAAGCAAAAACACTTTCCATATTGTTAGTCAGAGGTATTCCATGTGCTGGCACTCCAAAGATAGCCATTTCAACACAGGGTGTTATATTCAAGTTAAAGGCTTCATTTAGTATTTTAAATACAAATGTCCAATAGTTTTTCAGCTTTTGGCAGGACCAAAACATATGAATAAGATCAGCTTTATCACTTTTACATCGATCACATCTGTCACCAAAGTTTGGATACATTTTTAAAAGTCTAGATTTAGTGTAATATGTACGGTGAAGTATCTTAAATTGTATAAGACTAAGGCGTGCACAGGTGGTTGATCCATTTACTCTTTTTAGAGCATCATCCCATATTTCATCAATCATTACAGAGTCTATATCTTTGGTCCACTTTTCTTACATTTTTTCAATTGAAGTATTACTTGCAGACACAATCACATTGTATAATGCACAAATTTGACCTTTGGGGGTTACAGGAATCTGTAAAATTTTATCCATCAGTGAGGTAGGGGGTAGGTTAGGAAAGGTGGAATTTTGAGATTGAATAAAATGTCGGACTTGAAAATAACGGAACAGGTTAGAATGTGCCAGCTGAAATTTCTGTAGAAGGTCATTGAAACTAGCGAAAGTGTTGTCAATGTAAAAATCACTGCATTTAGCCAATCCAATACTCTGCCATTGTACATATGTGTAGTCTATTTTACCAGCGGGAAATAGAGGGTTATTACTGAGAGGGCTTAACATGGAGAAGTCCTTAAGTTTGTACGTTTGTCTAAACTGAGACCATATTTTAAGTATTGAACTTACGACTGGGTTTGAGGTATACTGATAAGGGGAGAAGGGTAATTTCATTGTTAGTAAGGCGGGAAGTGATGTAGAAATACAGGTATCTGCTTCTGCCTTACACCACTCTGTCTCTGGGAAATTATACCAACAGTTGACTTTTTGAAGATTTGCTGCCCAGTAATATCCCATAAAATTAGGTAAAGCTAAACCTCCTTGAAATCGCTGCCTTTCCAAAAGGTCTTTATTAATTCTTGGGTTCTTCCCTTTCCATAAAAATGATGTTATAAGCTTATTTAATGTACGAAAAAAGGCTTTTGGGATAAAAATGGGGAGGGACTGGAATAAGTATAAAAATTTAGGTAGGACATTCATTTTAATACAATTTACTCTACCTGCTAAAGATAGGTATAATGTGTCCCATCTTTGTAAATCAGTTTTAGTTTTATTTATAAGGGGTAAAAAGTTATTTTTATATAGACCTGAAAAAGTTTGAGTAATTTGTACTCCTAAGTATTTAAAGCCAGATTGAGAAATATGAAATGGGAGGGATGAAGTTTTAATTTGTAGAGCCAGAGGATTAATGGGAAAGTATACACTTTTAGAAAAATTTTATTTATATCCTGAGAAACTACCAAAGACAGAAAGATTTTGCACTTTATGGACTGTAGAGATTTAAGCATTATAGAAAGTAGTTCTATCGCTAATGCAAAAAGAAGAGGACTCAAAGGGCATCCTTGTCTTGTGCCTCTTAGTATTGGGAAAAATTGTGAGCGTACTTTGTTTGTTATAACAGAGACTTTAGGGGTAGAATAAAGCAACTGAATCCAATTGACATATTTTGGGTCAAAGCCCAACCTTTTCAATATTAAAAACAAATAGCCCCACTCAACTCTATCAAACGCTTTTTCTGCATCCAGGGAAACCACAACCTCTGGGGTCTCCCTGGATGCAGGAGATTACAGGACCCCCAGGAGCTTCCGTAGATTGGTATACGAGTAACGACCTTTGACAAAACCCGTCTGATCCGGAGAGATAATTTCTGGTATGAGGGAATCAATTCTTGAAGCAAAAATTTTGGCAAGTATTTTAACATCGACATTTAACAATGAGATTGGTCTGTAAGAACTACACATGGATGGGTCTTTTCCTGGTTTTAAAAGAAGTGTTATAAATGCCTCTGTAAGGGTTTGTGGTAATTTTGCATTTTCTAAAGAATTTTCAAACATTTTCAATAGAAGTGGAGCTATTTTGGGCGCAAAGGCTTTATAAAATTCTATAGGATATTCGTCCGGACCAGGGGTTTTGCTACTTTGCATTGCATTTATTGAGTCTATGACCTCTTGTAGATTAATAGGCTGTTCTAGATTTTCTTTTTGCTCCAAATAAATTTTTGGAATGTTTAAACCATCTAGGAACATTAACATATTTGAGGTATCTTCTGGAAACTCAGAAGAGTACAAATTAGAGTAATATTCTTTGAAGGTGTCATTAATTTCCCTGGGGCCCATTGTTAGTTGTTGTGATCTGTTTAGAATCTGTGGAATTAGTCTAGAAGCTGACTGGCACTTTATCTGATGTGCTAGTAATCGGCTTGCTTTTTCCCCATGTTCATAAAAATTCCCTTTAGACCATAATAAGTACTGTTGAGTCCTTTCAATTGAAAGTTGATCGTATTGCCCTTTAAGTTCCACTCTCTTTTTGAATAACTCTTCTGAAGGAGTTAATGAGATGTGGTTATCTATTTTTGCTATGGAATCAATGAGTTGTTGTAATTTTGCATTCTTTAGTTTGTTGGTATATGAAGAATAAGATATGATTTCACCTCTGATGACTACTTTAAATGTTTCCCATAAAGTCGATGCATGGTGATACCTCTTCAAATGTATTTGTAGCCAAAAAATTGTCAATTGTTGTTGATATATACGTATGAAATTTTTTGTCTGCCAACAGAGTTGGATTTAATCTCCAAGTGGGGCATTGGTTACTGCAGAGAGTAAATCGTAAATCTAAAAGTAGTGGGGCGTGATCTGATATAATAATGGCAGAGTATTTAGTTTTTTCTAATGAAGGAAGTAGTGTTTTATCAATATAGAAATAATCTATTCTAGAATAAGAAGAATGAACATGAGAGAAATAGGAAAATTCTCTTTTTTGTGGAAATAAAAATCTCCATGGATCCAAGCATCCTGTTGGTGTCATAAAAGTTGAGAGAGCTAAAGATAATTTGGATTGTGGCATTGGTTCTGGATTTGAACGATCTAATTTCGGGTTAACAACACAATTTAAATCTCCGCCAAAAATGAGTTTATATGTATTTAAATCTGGTAGATGTGAGATGATTTTATGAATGAAGTTAACGTCGTCCCAATTTGGGGCATAAACGCATACCAAGACAACTGGGATTTGAAACAGATAACCAGTCACGATAACAAAGCGTCCTTGGGGATCAGAAACAGATTTAGATACATTAAACTGGACTTTCTTATGAATTATAATTGTTGCTCCTCTTGTTTTACTGTTGAAATGGGAGTGAAAAATCTGTCCAACCCATGGTTTTCTAAGTCTTACCTGGTCTGCTATTTGTAAATGTAAAACTATATCCGTCTTCATTTTTTTGAGATGAGCGAAAATACGCGCTCGTTTATTTGGTCCATTCATACCCTTAACATTCCAGGTAATAAAACGAATGGAAGACCCTCCTTCTTTCTTAAACATATCACACATCAATCAATACTTTTATAAGAATAGATGAATAAAAGTAAGACCATTCCACATGTGCAAGTGTATGTGGTAAAAAAAATACCCTGACAACACAATGCCCACCCTCTCTCCCATCCCTTCCAGTCAAACACAATAAACATTGACCCCTTCCTATATTTGTCTCAAGCATGAAGACAAATGGCAGGTCCCCATACACGTTCCCCCAGTAATCTCTCAAATTACTCAGAACCGTTTCTATCAACGGGGATATCCCAATCCACTATAACATTTTCTACATCCATAACTTTTTACATAAGTTAACTTTTTTTGGAGTATCAATTCACATTCATTACATTTTTAGTTGTTGTTTTTTTCCCCCACCTCAAAACAAATATTTTTCAAACAAAGAAGAACGAATAAATGGATTTCTACACATATAAACTGATAAGGTTGTGGGTCATTTTGGAGGACACATGTGAAAATATTTTTAAGTACACTACTTAAACCCACACAAAAGAATCAAAGAATCGTGTGAAACCCAGTAAACTTGAGATTATGACTTGTGACATTAGAACAAAACATACTGTATGAATATGATAACATATGTATAACACTAAATTTACCATACTGATTGAACAATACTGATTATTGATTACAAATACTGTTAGCTAATTATGAGTTGTTGTTGTTGGGAACAGTGTTTTTTTCCCTCCCTTTTCTCTCTTTTTACTTTCGCTTTCAGCAGGGCGACGAGAGTACCTGATTGGTTTGTTCATCTGTCAATCATTGAGATGTTGGTGATGAGAACACTAGTTTAGAGATGCGTGCCACCATCTGTATCTTTTTGGTTTGTAGTAAAGAGTAGTTTATTTAGGGGGTCTTTGATGCTGAAGGTTGTTTCTTTTATTTAAATCTGGGATTTTCTTGAGAACATTGACTGTGGATTTAGGTTAGAAGGTTTCTTTGTTTTTGTGAGATTGGTTTTGGTTTTGTTCCTTTCTTTGATTTGGCACAGTCTAGTTCTTTTGTCTTTTCCCCGTTCTTTTGTGAACCTAATTTATTTTTGCTTGGTTCAAAATTGTATATAAGTTGTACATTTATGAAAATAAGTATTTGGGGTTAATCTTTTGGCCTGTTTACTTCATTGTAATAAACAGACACTTTATTAGACTCAGAATTGTTTGTGCATAATTGCTTTCCAGTATATGTTTGGTGTTTTAATGTTGCACCCCTTATTTTCCCTAGACTTAAAAGGGTTTGTAACAAATACTGATACAAACACTGATGAATGGTATACCACAAAAAATCTTCAGCTTTTGGTTTTATAGTTCTATAAAAACAAAGTAAACTTTACATTAATTCAATCTAAAAAGTTTTGTTTTGTTTTGTTTTCATGTATTTATGCCCATCTGTGCTTACCATCACATAAAACCTGGCACTCTTGGTTGATTAACCCAAAAATGTCTTACTCATGGTTATCAGTTCCCAAAACATCACCACTTTAAATGCTTAACATTATTGGTATCTTCTTTGGTGTGAAGATCAGAAGATCTTGGTGGTGATCGTCGTGCACTGGGGTGGTTGTGCAATCTTTCTTTTAATCTGATCTTTAAAATCTTTTTATTATTGTGAACAAGAATGATGTTTTTGTAGCTAAAAAAAGAATAAGTTGCTATGGCTACTTACATACCTTGAAAGTTACCTCAGTTTTTGGAAGCAAAATTTTAAAAGGTTATTTATTTACTTACGCAACATACCCTGGTAAGTTTACAGATAACCTGCTTTCTGGGATACCCCAGCCAGGATCCAACTGCAGCTTAGCATTTATTTAATAACAATAGTATCAAAAAAACACAAGAACTAGAAAAAAGAAACACAGGAAACATCACCCAGAGAGGGAACATATGCAAACTAGAAGTTAAACTAACAAAATAAAAACTCGGCACAGCCTGTGCAATGGGTTTAAATGGATCGCCCCAAGCCCCTGATCACTAAGAATCCACTATGGTGCTGATTTATCATTTACAATTTTTTTTCTTATGAATAGTTTTATGCAGCGTTCTATCTATAAGAAAAGTGGAAAGCTAGTGATCCTGAAGACCTTGATTAGCCGGTTCAGGTGTGTCAAGCTGGAGCTAACTCCAGTTAAATTCAATGAAGATCAGAGGAAGAGATTGGAGAGATGGAAACTCACTTTCCAAGAGCGAAGACTGTAGTTGCTATGGTGATGTTTTGTTGTCTGTAGATCGAATCAATCAGGAACGGATCAAAAGTTCCTTCCCATACAATTGGGGATAACCATGGTGTCACGGCAATAACTTTGCCATCTGGGCTGTTTTAAATGAGGAAATACACACACGTGTGGATGAAATGCAAATCCAAATGCAAAGTGGTGTAAAAGAAAAAAAATCATTCATAAATATAAAAAGGTGTGTATGTTCTTACCCTACAACACTGGGCTGTTTGTATGAAAGCCTGTACAATAAAATAATAACAGTTGCTGTAAGATAATCAGTTGCGATGTATTGTATTTATCTCCAAAAGTCAAAACGTGTTATTCCTCATTATTCTAAACTGTTTTGACCTGCCACCTACTTTTCAAAAGTCTGTTGATGATGTGTCTTACTGTGATCTGAACATGGATCTTGACATCAAAAAGCTCTCAAGATTAAATGTCTGCAACACATCACACCCAAACTCCTTCCAGTTTTATCTGCATTCAAACGGAAAATCCAATAATAACTTTCAAAGCTCTTTATAGTCTTGTCCTTCACTACTTCAGAGTTACTCATTCCCTACACATCTTCCTATATATTTTGGCCCTCTGTAGCCACTCTTTTGGAATAGCATATAACCTTAATATGATTTGCATTTCTTCAACGTCTTTATATAGTGCCCTTCCCCTTCTTTTAGCAGCCTTGGTTCTGGATAAATTTTCCCCACACATTATATTGTCATCATTAAAGAGTTATAAGTCATAAACCAAACCAACCAGAAATGATGAGAATCACAACATTAAAAACTTTGACTGAAAGCAAAAAAGCACTGAAAATCTGACAAAAGGTACACAACTGCGTACTTTATGTTAATGAGGGTAAGAACTATAATCCAAAGAAACATTGCGAATGACAAATTAAAAATGCTGAAGAAATATAAAAATATTGATTTAAAGATGCTAATTATAGATACAGGGTTTCTGCAGGATTTTAAAGCTCAAATTTAAGACTTTAAGACCTTCTTTAAGACCTGCACAAATAAAATGAATACCATATGAGCGGGGTAGGGCAATGTCTATAGTAACATATTAAACTGTAAAATACTCACTACTGGCACCTACTGGCGTTTTAATTTAGTTGAAAAGTATCATTTCCACCATAATTTCTTGTTTGTATATTAAAAAATATTGAAAATAATCTCATAATAATTATTTAATGCAGTTGTATTTTTCAGTGTCAAAATAGATTTCATAAAATTGGTATCGAAAAAGTATCGTTCAGGAATCGGTATCGAAGTCAAGGTATCGGTATCGAAAATTTTAGAACGATACCCAGCCCTACAGATGAGACCAAAATTGAGCTCTTTGGCATTAACTCGACTCGCCGTGTTTGGAGGGAGAGAAATGCTGACTATGACCCCAAGAACACCATCCCTACAGTCAAGCATGGAGGTGGAAACATTATGCTTTGGGGCTGTTTTTATGTAAAATCTTGGACGGGAACCTCTTTCCCTCAGCCAGAACACTGAAGATGGGTCATGGATGGGTCTTCCACCATGACAATGACCTGAAACATACCGCCAAGGCAACAAAGGAGTGGCTCAAGAAGAAGCACATTAAGGTCATGGAGTGGCCTAGCCAGTCTCCAGACCTCAATCCTATAGAAAACTATACAAAAACGTCTTACCCCTTTCAGATGGAGCGGCATTTACTACACAGGGCCGTAGTGCACTGACAATTAGGCAATATCGAGTTCATTATCGCAGGCGATTCAATGGGGTGGGGAGCAGCAGCTCATTTGCATTTAAAGAGAAAGACACAAAAAAACAGCGTGCTTCTGCTTCCACTCAAAATGGGCATTTTCAAAATGATATAATAAATTATCTGTGGGGTATTTTGAGCTGAAACTTCACAGACACATTCAGAGACTTATATTACATATTGTAAAAAGGGGCATAATATGTCTCCTTTAAAAATAATAATATGCAGAATTGAATAGCAAGTGCTATAAAACAGTATGAGCTGCTAATATATACATACAAAAAAAAAATTAAAGGGGTCATATGATGCTATTTTAAATATCATAATTTTGTGTATTTGGTGTAACAGAATATGTTGACATGCTTTAATGT